TTTTCTGCCACGTCAAATAAATAAATGACACAATGGAAAAAACCTAAAACAAGTAGTCCTATTTCAAACCACATTTACTTACTAATAAAATTTCTTTGTTATGACACTTTCTCCAGTTTATAGGACCTCTCTCATATTCTATCTTGTCATATATAAACTCATAGTCATGTATGTCCTCTAACCATCTCATAACGGTTTCCAAACCACTTTTATCGGATGTAAAGTAAAAGCATGGATGGTTATGTATAACGTCTAAAGTTTCTAAAGAGTCTCTCAAAGTCCAGTCTACTTGGTATTGAAAATCCCATGTGTTAAAGAACGGCGGGTCCACTATAAAGAAAACATTTTCCTTGTCTTTATATTTTTCATACAAATCTGTCCAATGACATCTCACAAACTCTATACCCTCAATATATTTTTCTATGTCCTCTTTGAAAACATTTGTATAGTTAAGATATAAAACTTTTGACATAAGTGTTTCAATGTCATGAACTCTTATAGTACCACTATATAATAGTCTAGCAGATATACTATCCCAGTCTATATATTCTGCTTTTTTCAAAACCTCTCTCACAATATTTTTCTTATCTAATGGTATACGTTCCATCTTACCTATAGGTATCTTTTCTTTTAACTCTTTCAATATGTTGTTTGTGTCTGGAATATGTTTGAGACGGTCCATATAGTTGTCGAAGTCATTGCATATAATCTTTGAGTCTGGGAATATTGTATGACATAAATGGGATATATAGAAACTTCCACCGAACAAATCTACAAATGTTAGACCATTCGGTAGTTTCTTAAGTTCTCTCAATATAATATCTTTACATCTACTCTTATTTCCAAAGAACGGTAACGGTGGTTTTGTAAAATTCATTTATATATACCCAGATTTGCCTTACTTTTACCACTCCCCATGTAATTTCTGGGGAAAACGATAATTCATTTTTTTTTATGGATGAATAGATCGTTTTCCTAGAAAGGACCTCATATCTCTGGCTAAAAAGAGTGTCAGATCCTAAATAGATTATTGATCTAGTGTACAAATCCAATAAAAAGCCTATTTTTTTGGCTTTTTTTGGTGCTCATTTTTTCGAAGATCTACATGAATATGGGGAAACCATCGGATTTTTTTGGTTAACCCACATCTTCATGTAGTCTGGACTATCTTTCCTCGAAGGACCTCTTTACGGGTGTAAAAACTCATAAAGTTCTCAAAAGATTCATTCTCGATCTCCATGCTGAAAGAATTTACAATAAAAAAGAGATCTACGCATCAAACTACAGCCATAAATGAACTGAACCCCTAAAGCTCAGCTCTTAGTTTATCAAAAACGTCGAAATCCTTCTCATTGCAATCAAATTTTCTCAATAACTCATAAGAAAAATCGAATTTTGATTAAGCCGATGTTATAGGTATCACAAATACTACAAACTTGAGCAATATCGAAATTGCCAGCAAAAGTTTGAAATTGCATTGCTCATATTTGTTTTGTAAACTAAAAATCTGCTTATATTATTCATTAATTTTTTATATATTATTCATATACTTTAATAAAAACAATACTATTTCACCTTAAAAATGAATTTCATAAGTCAATATTATTTTTTTGAAAATGTATCAATTTTCGATTAAAACAACATGAGAATAAAATTTACGCAAAATTATTTTAAAAAATGGTTTTAAAAATTTACAATTGATTCAGAATAAGATTGCAAGAAGTTATGAAGTTTAATTTTAAGAAAAAAAATTCGGACATTATTCATGGATCTAAGTAATCTGATATTTGAGTATCAGCACTATGCATAAAACATATATTTATAGTTTTTTTGGATTTTTATGATTTTAAATATATTCAAATTTGGCAATCCAATAGATTTTTAAAAAATAGGTAAATAAAAATAGATTACATATGCAGCAGATTTAGAACATGAAACAAATCTTATAGTGACCCAAAAAAAATTCATGATCCAAAAAAGAAAAAAATTAGCTAAATGGGAATCAAACCTTGGCATAATGAATAATTATGTCGGATGTTTCCACTACACCGGCAGTTCGAAAAATACCCTTGGTGGTTCTATTTAATAGCTACTCCCAACGATAGGCGGTGTCCCCAGCTTTAGAGAGGTGGTAAAAGTAAGGCAAATCTGGGTAATAATAAAAATGTTTTTACCCGAAAAGTGACAGAAAAGTGACAAAGCATGAAAACATATATAATTTGTGAAAAGCGACACAAAAAGTGACATTTTTAAAAGTGGCATCATTAATATGATGTAAATAACAACGGTTTTGGTTTTGTCACCGGCTGGTCGGCTGGGGTTCGGTCCTCCTCTTGGGTCTTGGGCAAAATTTCTTAGGGCTAGAAGGGGCGCAGCCCCTGGAAGCCCCTCATACCTGACCTCAATTCCTATATTACCATTAATAAAAAGAATATATTTTATAATAGTTTCATTTCGAACATGTTAAAATTTATCTGCATTTCGAAAAATTTTATTATAAATGATAATATAATTTATTAAATTAATATATAACTTAGAACAATAAGTAACGGTTAAACTTCTACTGGTAAAGTTTACACTGGCAGAACTTCTACTGGTAGAGTTTACACTGGCAGAACTTCTACTGTTTCCCTCAAAATTGAATACTTTAGCAGAACTTCTACTGGTAGAGTTTATACTGGCAGAACTTCTTACGTAAAATTAAAACTAAGTTAAATTTATTTTTTTTTATTTTTTATTTTATAATAAATGAGTATAACAACTAATTCATTGAAATCTTTAAAGTTCACTAATTCAGAATTAGAAAATATTTTAGAAAATTTTGGAGACGGTTCTTATCCAACATATATGCAGAATGTGAAAGAGTTTTCCAGATTGTTGAATGAATTTAAATATAACGGACCAATTACTAAAAAGGCTATAATGAGATATTTATATCCCAAAAAAGTTGAAAAACAGGAGAATATTCCTCTTTATGGTCCAGAGGACCTGGGCTCAGAGAGCCTTGAAACACCTCCTGAATATTTTGAAGAAAAAATTAAACAAGATGAATATTATAACGATGAGATTGAGAAATTGGAACAATTAAGAAATGAAATAGATGAAAGAATTAGTGAATTGAGAAATGCTGAGAATGAAGTAGAGGGTTTAATGAATATCCCAGCTTCAGAATCAGAAGTTCAAAAATCACATGAGGAAAGATATAAAAATTACTTTTTGGAATCTACTAAAAATTTATTAGATGGTGATATTGACGAAACACTTTCAGAAGAAGGCACAAAATTTATTCGTAAACATAAGTTACAATTTATTGATAATGGAGAATACCCCTGTATCCTACTTTCACTTCCTCTTGATTCTGAAAAATTCAAAAAAGCACTGAAAAATGTAACATATGCAACAAATACGATTAAGAAAGAAGACCATGATATTTACACAAATTATTATTTAAATAAATGTACAGGTGTTGATAAAGTTTTTGATTTGTTAGATAAAATATCAAAAGAAACAATTGGTACATATAAAATTTTATGCGATTGTGGTTTCATTGTTGAAGATACCGTTGATGTTTCATATGAAAGAACAGCTCCGAAGGAGACGAAGTGAAATCTATTCCATTCGTTATTAAGAACATAAAAGATATGAAAACTATAAACATTATATTTATTCATTCATTTCAGAAAAAATGGAAGCAACACATAAATCATCTCGTCATCATTTCATAGCTATTCACACATTCCTTTTCAAAGTTGTGAAATTAAATAAGACAGGAATTAGATTTAATGTATCAGGTTACGCATTCTTGAGTAAATTAAAATGTATTCGTCACGTTGCAGATGATAAAAATTTGTGTGTTCTTAATTCATTTTATGGACTTTAGCCCTGGACTCTCTGAGTCTCGGACTTTAAAAAAAATAAACTTTATTTTTATTTATTTTTTAATTTTTATTCTTACATAAATGAACAAAAATGGAACAGCTAAAATGAATGATAATCAAATAGAGCGAAGGTAGAAGGTTATTTAAACGCTTCTATAACATTCCTGATGGTGTTAATCCTAAAACTCGTAGAAGTTATTTAAATGAAGCCAATAGATCATATGAAGGGTTTGACATTTCATCAGAAAGTGAGAGATTAGCGAGAATGTTAAATGTTAATATTGATTTTATTATTGTGATCCTCAACCAGAAGACGTAGACATTAACAAGGTAGACTTTCCATTAGTGGAATCAATAATGATAGATCCAGAATTTGAAACAGTAAATATTTTATTAACACAGAGTCCATGTGGAAAACTTCACGCTGACAGAATTACAGACGTTGAAGCACTCACAGGATATAAAGTTTGCCCCTTTTGCAAAGAAGAAGTATATTCTATCCGTGATGATCCAGAAAGGAAAAACCAAAGAAGATTTTTAAAACATTGTGAGAAATGTAAAGAAAATAATGGAAGATTAATTCAAGACGTTCAATTGCAAAAGACCCAGCAACCATATGCACCACATATTACGAAACAGAAGATATATCAATGGCTATTAGCACATAATTTGCAGGAATATTATAAACCAACAAGATATTATATTACTTTTGACTTCGAAACATTAGAGACTAAAGAAGAACTTCAACTTTCTGAATGTGCAACTTTGAACGCTTACTTAAAACCATTTATGGTATCATCAACTGTCAAAATAAAGCCGCAAAGCGGCGAGGTCGTAGACCGTGATAAAACATTTACGAGGAATTTTTGCTTAACATCAAGTGATTCGTTCATCTCTGATTGGATTGAATTTTTATTTTCAACCTGTTCATTAGTTGCTAAATCAAATATTGAACAATATGAAGAATTAATGAATACATTAAATGAGAAACAAAAGGAAGCAATGAAAGAGCTTTTAGATGAAGAATTTAATAAAGTGAATATCATTGGTTTTAATTCGGGAAAGTTTGATTTAAATTTAATTCTTCGTGATTTAAATACTGCAAAATGGAAGATAAAATCAATGCTGGGTTCTTCTTCTCAATTTAAGCAAGTCATAGTAAAGAAAACAAACTGTCCATATGAATTAAGATTTATTGACATCAGAAATTATATAGCGGGTGGAACATTAGACCAATTCACTCAAGATTTCGGAAACAATAAAACACGTGTTAAATCATTCTTCCCATATCAATTCATCACATGGGAGAATTACGAAGATGAATTATATAAAAAGGAACTATTCACTCAAGATTCATTTTATTCAGCATTAACTCAAGAAACTATATCCGATTCAGATTATCAAATATATCTCAATGATGCTAAAAATTTTGAGAATAGATTAGAATATTTTATTCATTATTGCAATAAAGACGTTGAAATTATGATTGACCCAATTGATAAAATTATTGAAGAAACATTTGTTTATAAAATTGACATGCTCCATAATCTTTCATTATCATCTAATGCATCAATGATTCGTTACGCGTTAGCATATAAGAACTTCAATCCTAACGAAACATATCCAGAAGAAGAAAATGTGGAATCAAGTTTTGAATTAACGAAAAAGTATTGGAAATATAAAATTGAATCATATAAGAAACAAGATGAAAAAGCAGAAAGAGATACTAAAAATAATGTTTCAATGGATGATTTTCAATACTATCACGATTTAATCCTTTCATCTAAATGCAAAATGTGTGGTAAAGCGTTTACATATGCAAATAAACCAACATTGGATAGAATCGATAATGAAAAACCACATACCAAAGAAAATTGTCAGTTAATGTGTTGTTATTGCAATGTCGTAAAATCAAATAAAGATGAAGATGTTCAACGTTTAAGAATCAATTTAAGAAATTATGCATTAAAAAATAATTTACCAATGACTTTAGATTCAGTTGAAGCTTATCACATTCTCCGTAATGGAATTACTGGTGGTTTATCAAATGTTCAACATAGAGTAATCTTAAAGGAATCACGCACATTAATAAACTTTCATATAATCCAGAAACTAAAACTGTATCAAATGAGGACACCACCAACATTATGACTCATTTCGTTGGTGTTGACTTTAATTCATTATATCCTTCATCATTTTCATCTAATCCTCATGATTTCATTCAATATACTGACCATAAAATGTATATGCCGGGAAGATTGAATGGTGTTATCATTTGTGATACAGCAACAAAGAAAGCAAAAGCTGGGAATTATTAGAAGAAAAATACTTTATTCGTGGCTGAAGTAAAGGGTCACATTGATGAAAAATACATTAATGATTACATAAACTTTTTACCGATAATAAGAAACTTAGATATTATCACAGATGAAAAAACAATTGGCAGTTTTATGTATAATTACATGAAATCAAACAATTTACCAGTTGACCAGAAACAGAGAAATTAACTCAGTTAGCATCAACACACAACCAATATCAACCATTTTCTTCTTATTATCTTGGTATCTAATAGACAGATTTCATTTTATCATCGATGATATTCAATCAATTTTAACATTTACGAAAAATACTTGTTTTAATGAATTTGCGAACAAATTTATGAACGAAAGACAAAAGGCTGAATTAGAAGGAAATAAAGGAAAAAGTTTATTTTGCAAAATTTCACTTAATGGATCATATGGTTACGATGCAATGAATACACAAAATTACGCAAAGACTAAAATAATGAATGCACAGAGGGCACGCGTTGCATGTATGTCAAATAAGTTTAAAAACATAAGAGAAATAGGTGAAGATACATATCAAGTGATGCTTAAAGATAGATTTTATAGATGTGATACATGTTTACAAGAGGCATTCTTCACTTTAGATAACGCAAAATACTGGTATTTAGTTTTCATTTATGATTTTATGTATAAATGCATGAATGTTAATCGTTTTCATTTCATTGAAGGTGATACTGATTCATCTTATTGGGCAATCGCTGGCGACCCAAATCTTCCTAACACTCAAGCATTTCAAGCGATTGTAACCGATAAAAAATTTTATGATAAAAACATTTTCAAATTCGCACCTTTTGATTTCTTCTGTTTTGATGAGAAATTTAAACCTAAATTAAAGAATAAAGCTGAAGAAAAAGCACATGAGAAAAAATTATTGGGTTTAGCAATTGAGAAACAAGGTGATAACATGGTTGCTTTATGCCCTAAGTGTTATACATCATTCAACGGTTCAATTGATGGAAGTGATTTTAAAAAGATTGCACAAAAAATGAAGGGTGTTAGTTTAAGACAAAATAAGCAATTAACACCTAAAAAATATTTGGATATAATAAATGATAAAGTGATATTTGATGGTCAAAATATTAATTTACAACTTAAAAACGGGTCAATGACTCGCTTAACAATCGGTAAGACTGCATTAACAGGAGCACACACTAAGGCTGTATGTTGTGAAAATGGATGTTGTATGCCATTTATTTAATGAAATGCCACAGAAGAGACAAAAGGAACCGTTAATGATGGTTTTGATACTATGATTCAAAGAGGTGGGCACCCTTAAACATTTATTTTATTTTTATATAAATGAATAGCGTAGATTTAAAAAATTTAATTGATGATTTAGTATTTAATCAAAATTTTCTTGATTATTATGATTTAAAAGCATATCTCCAAAAATATGATAACAATATAACGGGTGATGATATGGAATATTATTATCCATATTATAAAAATGAAATTTTGAAATATCATGATAAAATAATTTCTAAAATTAAAGACAAAATTAAAAATAATGAATATACAAAGGGAAAAACTAAATTACAACTTAAACAATTGAAAGATTTCAAAAATAAAGTATTAACAGAAGAAGATATTGATGAATTATATAAATTATATAATCATGAGCCGCAAAAAACAAAGGCGCAAAACGCCCAGGTCCTTCAGACCATAAATGAAGCACAAGCTTTAGTTTATGATTCATTAGTTAAACCATATTCAGCCCGACTTTTAAATGAAGATCAACTTTTGGAATTCATCCTTCAACATAAACTCGAAGCGGGAAAGTATATCAAACCTTTATATACAGCATATTTAAAACAAATGAATAGAATACATCCAGAATTAATGAAGGGGGGAATGAAATCCAAAATCAAAGCAGATAAAATTAAACCACTTGCAACACCAAAACCTCCAACGACAGTACCGCCTCCTCCTTCAGTTAATCCTTCATCATTCACTTTATTATATCCATTTCAAACATTAAAGAAACAAAAAGATTTTAAAAAGGATTTCAAGATATTAAATAAACCAACTGACCCAAAAATTCAACCGTTAAAGGAAAAATTTAGTCGCCCTTCATTTGCACCATATCCATATTCATACGAAATCGATCATTTAGAATATTCAAAAGGAAACGTTACTTATTTATTTGCCATTAACATTAACACTAGATATTTATATTGCATTCCGGTGAAAGGGAAAACAGAACAGGAAACAAGAAGAGCTATACAATACTTACTAGATCATGAAAGAGTGGATAATATAAGGGGTGATGGTGATAAAGGATTTCAGGCAACTATGACTCATTATTTCCCACAAATTAATTTTTACTTCTCATCCTCTCCATATACGTTTCATAATAAAATAGTTGATGCGGTAATGAGAACTCTTAGAGATGCGTTAGGGGTTAACGGTCAGATATACTGGGATGGAAATCATGACTCCATCATACAGCAGTTAGTATATTATTACAATAATACATGGCATAGAACTATAAACATGAAACCAGTGGAAATGAAAAATGATATTTCAAAAGAATGGGAATATATTAGAAAGCAAATGGAAAGGTTAAATGATGTTAAACGTGAACAAATTAATTCGGGGCTCATGAATTTTAAACAAGGGAATAAAGTTTTGATTCATCTCGATTATGGAAAAACTGATAAATCAATGACAAAAAGAAGACGAAGATTTGACACAATAGCTGAATTTGTTAGATATATTAACGGCAATGCATTAGTTGAAGTTGACAATAAATTAATAGAAATTCCGATTTATTTTATGACTCCATTATATTTAAATAATATTTAATTTTTTTTATTTCGTAAGAAATGAGTGACAACAAAGCAGTCAAGAGTCCAGACGATGAATATAAAAAGAAACTAAACAGAATTAAATCAAAAATATGCTATTACAAAAAGAAGCCGCAATGTGGTGGGGTTGAAAACGATAAAGAAATAATCGAAAAATTAGAAACTTACCGTTCAATCCTTAAACTGAGTGAAGCAAAAATAAAAGAATTTAATAGAATAAATAAATTGATTGGAAGAGATGAATTTAATAAAGATGAATTTTTAAACTCTATCCAAATTTAATTTTTATTCCTCTTCGACAACATCTCTCTTTCCATCATTATTGCATAACCACATTTTCTCACTTTTAGTGGTTTGTTATTTTTAACATGTTCTTGCATCATTTTTATCATTTCCTCCCTTGTTATGATTCGTGGTAAATTTTGAGCTTGTGGGGTATCCATTTATGATAAAAATAAAAATTTGTTATCAGTTATTTTATCGTTAATGGTTTCGGGTTATTCAATAATTAATTATTTTTGAAGAACTGAAGGGGTCACCAGGTCACCAGGTCACCAGGTCAATGTACTTCTCTGAAAAAATGAGACAACATGACATTTTGACAACACAGGAGGAAGGCAGTTATGAATTATTTTTGAAGAACTGAAGGGGTCACCAGGTCACCAGGTCACCAGGTCAATGTACTTCTCTGAAAAAATGAGACAACATGACATTTTGACAACACAGGAGGAAGGCAGTTATGAATTATTTTTGAAGAACTGAAGGGGTCACCAGGTCACCAGGTCACCAGGTTAATGTACTTCTCTGAAAAAATGAGACAACATGACATTTTGACAACACAGGAGGAAGGCAGTTATGAATTATTTTTGAAGAACTGAAGGGGTCACCAGGTCACCAGGTTAATGTACTTCTCTGAAAAAATGAGACAACATGACATTTTGACAACACAGGAGGAAGGCAGTTATGAATTATTTTTGAAGAACTGAAGGGGTCACCAGGTCACCAGGTTAATGTACTTCTCTGAAAAAATGAGACAACATGACATTTTGACAACACAGGAGGAAGGCAGTTATGAATTATTTTTGAAGAACTGAAGGGGTCACCAGGTCACCAGGTCACCAGGTTAATGTACTTCTCTGAAAAAATGAGACAACATGACATTTTGACAACACAGGAGGAAGGCAGTTATGAATTATTTTTGAAGAACTGAAGGGGTCACCAGGTCACGAGGTCACCAGGTCAATGTACTTCTCTGAAAAAATGAGACAACATGACATTTTGACAACACAGGAGGAAGGCAGTTATGAATTATTTTTGAAGAACTGAAGGGGTCACCAGGTCACCAGGTCACCAGGTTAATGTACTTCTCTGAAAAAATGAGACAACATGACATTTTGACAACACAGGAGGAAGGCAGTTATGAATTATTTTTGAAGAACTGAAGGGGTCACCAGGTCACCAGGTCACCAGGTTAATGTACTTCTCTGAAAAAATGAGACAACATGACATTTTGACAACATAGGAGGATTAATGCAAAAATAAATTCCAATCATACTTTATAAAGCTTCATTTACGGGTATTTCATCGTCAGTAAATGAATCCTCATTATCGTTTGGTTCAACTTGTTTATATAATCCTTTCATTTCTTCTTTCAAAACATAATACCATGTCTGTTTACCATCTATTTTTCTTTGTTTCCTTTCACATTTATCCTTAATACTCATTTGGAAATTCTTGTCTTTCATGTCTGATGGTTTGCAGAATAGAGCATTTTTACACGTCATACCCGCACACAATTCATCATAATGTGTATTTATCCATACATCTAAAGGATTTGTTGATAATTCAATTAAATCTTGTTTGGCTTCAGTCATCGGAATGATTCGTACATTAAATGATGAAAGGTCGTAATTGATAAAATACGTCAGTAAATTATCATAAAATTCCTTTGTGCATGAA